CCTGTACCAACCCTATACCCCCTTATACCCCCCTTATACCACTCCCCACGCCCCCTTCCCCTCCCCCCAATCCCCAAAGGTTTCGCAGTGGATTTGGGCTGTACTCAGCAAGTGCAGTACAGCCCCCAACTCAGATTTGAAAAATAATCAGTGGATGGTTGTTTTCTGACTGGTCAGCAGAGAGCTGACCAGTCGGTCGGTCCCTATGTAACCGTTTGAACGCCATGGGCCGCGTTCGCATTCAAATCCGCGTTTGAATGCGGAATTAAATTCGCGTTCACTTTCTTAGCCCCGGATGGTTACAGCATCTATGTGAGGGACGCCGGGCCCGTTTCCCGGTTTTTGACGATAAAAGGCCGAGTATAATTAAAAAAAAAAAAAAAAAGGCCCAAATTCACGTTCAACTTTGAAGTTTGAACGACGTTTATTTTTTTTGTTGTTTTTTGGAACCCCTAGTACCTCCGAGCCTGTTTTTGCCGACCCTGAGTTTCACTGCGCTCCGAGTTTTGACGAGCCTGGGTCCCACTCCATTTTCGTTTTTTTTTTTTTTTTTTTTTTTTTTTGCAAATGGCCCTTTTGATATCCCTCTATCCCGGTGGTGGTAGGAGAACCACCAGAATTGAGGGCTTACCAGTCGGGCAGCTCCATCTATTGGTGGGGAGCAGCACCTGCTGGAAACCGGGTCCGGCGTCCCATTGATACATTAGGTAACACATAACAAGTGATGCACTGTTGGTTCGGGGCCAGGGGCATTAGAAAATCAATCCCGGGGTTCCTTTGTCCCATGGAGCTGCTGATATCGCCCTTCCCATTGTTAGAGCATCCCATTATCAATCCCCCCAGCCCTCATTTCAGCAGCCCCCCTTTTCACACTATGTCGAAACGATAAAAGCAGACACGAAGTTATGGCTTATGTTGGCATGACCCATGCCCGTATAGCTAATGTAGCCGCAATGCCACTCCCTAGACTGCCATTGTGATCTTTGAGGGATTTGTTACACTCTTGCAGGACCTCTGATCCAACTCATCATTTTGACCGGATGGAGGATGTGTTTGCAGGTTTAGCAGATTGTGTCGTCCCCCTGTCTGAGGCCACAGGACCCCAAGGACCCCAAGCATCAGCGCAGATCCCACTTTCGCAGGCTTGCCATTTCCTTGAGCTGCCAAGGCCCAAGGCCGTTAGGGTACCCTCACACTCCATTTTACCCTCACACTGCATTTTCTTTAGGGTACCCTCACACGAAGAACAACAAAAAAGAAGAAGAAGAAAAGTTGTGGCCGTGAAACTCACAAAACAAGAAAACAAGAAAAAAGAAACAAAGCTCTGGCTGTGATTGCAGTCGTATACATTCTTGGAAGTGGTAGTGTGAGTCTGCCCTCAGTGAGGGCATCTCAGCCCCGTGGCCAGGTTGTCAGATTCCAGAAACACAAAACAAGAAGAAAAAAAAACAGAAACACCAATTCGGCCGTGAAAATGGCTGCATACATTCCTCTAAGTGCCAGTGTGATCAGGGTTACAATCCTCTGAGGAAACACAGCTCGAGCAGATCACGGATTCAGATTGTCAGATTCCAGAAACAGAAAACAAGAAAAAAGAAATGGAAACACGGATTCGGCCGTGAAAATGGCTGGATACATTCCTCTTAAGTGCCAGTGTGATCAGGGTTACAATGCTCTGAGGAAACACAGCTAGAGCAGATCACGGATTCCGCCCTGCCTCGTTGGCAGTGGACTCATAACGAGAGATGGTTAACCGACCCCCCATTTTTCACCTCAATTATAGTGCTCATAACAAACAAACAAGAAAGGAAAAAAAGAAAACAACAAGTTTCAGAATGTGACGGTCTTTGCTGTAAGATGCATTCTGTAGAGGAAGACTGTGAGCACAGCCTCCTAGACTACCCTGCCCGACATCATTGGAGTACAGAAAGTGTTTTTTTTTTTTTTTTTTTTTTCCTTTTCCTTTCATGCGGGCAAAAGAAAACTAAGATTTATGGGACTTGCGGATCCTGGGTCCCACCCCCGAATTCTTCGGGAACAGGCTAAAACTTGTAATTTCCCAACACTTGCAGAGGTAGCCCGGTTACATGCCCTCTATCCCAGTGGTGGTGAGAGAACCACTAGGATTGAGGATTTCATAGTCGGGTTATTCATCTATTGGTGGGGAGCGACACTTGCTGGAAGACGAAGGTAATTGCAGCGACAACACCGACAATACCAAGGCTTTGTTACATCGGCATCAACGGCATCAACGGCATCAACGACACCACCACCACCACCACCACCAACAACAACAACAACAATGACAGCGACAGCAGCAGTGATGACTATGGCAAAAACGGGGCAAACAACAACAACAACAACAACAACAACAACAACAACAACGGCTGCGACGACCACGGCAGCGGTGGGGTGGAGAGCGACAACAACAACAACAACAACAACAACAACAACAACAAAGGCTGCGACGACCACAGCAGCGGCGGGGTGGAGAGCGATGTCCGCGCATCTGAGTTTATCATCAGCGGGATGGGTGAGATGCCGCGAGCGGACGTGGAGGGGACTGGGGTTGTCCTCGGTAGCAGCAGGGTTGAGTGCGCCACATCTCAGATCATCATCAGCATGATGGGAGAGATGCCGCAAGCGGACGTGGTGGGGATTGGGGATGGCAACGACAACAATAACGATGATGGCAGCAGCAACGATGACGGCGGCAGCGATTACCACGACAGCAGCGGGGCAGAGGGCATCAGCCGGAAGGGAGAGAGGTTGCATGCTGACGTGGTGGGGATTGGGGTTGACACGGATAAGAAGCTTACCATCTTCCCCTCGGCATCCCCCTTCAACCTCATTGTCTGTCTGAGGATAGGGGTAGGATAGTCGACGTTGATTGGTGTTATCATCCTCCCCCCCCTTTCCCTCTCCTTCAACCTCTTTGTCTGGCTGAGGATACGAGTAGGATAATCGATGCTGATTGGTGTTGCCTGGCCCGCAATATCAATCAACAATGGGGTGCTGATTGCCCCGTGGGAGGGAGGTGCGCTGCTTAAGGAGTAGTTTGCAGGTGGTCAATCCTTCCCTTGCACAGGGAAGTAATCAATGCCCCTGCTCTCCTTCGGACAATAGGTATTGGGATTCGATGTCCAGACATACATTTTACATAATTGATAGTCATTCGTGCTTATGCTTTGATTGATAAAGATCATACACATCACATCATTTTTAGAGTTTCGTGTGTAGATTTCGATAGATATTGTACACATACATCACAAACATTACATATATATCACATCCTCGTTAGGGTTTCACTTCTGACATATATTGTTTAACGTGCATACATAGGTAGATGGAGCTGTCAACACAACCCTGCAATGGGACGCTGGAGCCGGTTTCCAGCAGATACATTCACATCACTATACAGGGACGCTGGACCCGATTTCCAGCAGATACATTCTCATCATTGTA